TAAGGACCCTTTAGCACTTAATTTTACAAAGGTGCCCCTACAGTCAGAATGTCCTTCCATTTGTAAAATGGACGAAATAACATCTGGTGAGTTTCTGCTACCCACCGCTGGAAAAACTTATATGTGGTATGTGTGTAGTAAGGCACATATGCAGTAACGGAAGGAAATTTACCGGATGATCAGGGCGGGCCAATCTCATAGACCAGAGATGCCAATCACAGAAGAGTGGGTGGCCATTTAATTGCTGATTCAAAACATGTGGGTCTGTGGGCCACGACCCCCGGGAGAATCGTGAAAAAACAATTGGCAGCCCGAACTCAGTGTTGGTGAAGAGCCAGGCTATCAGGCTCAGAACCTCCAAGAACTGGCTGCGGTCACTACCCTGCATCTGGCAAGGTGTCGCTCCCCAGAGCTCATGGCAAGAGGCCTGAAGGCTGAGACTGTGACTCGGGTCTGTGAAGGCATAACAGAGAAACCTGCAGGAACATCAGGGATTTCTCACCCAGAGACATGGGAGACGGTGAGTGTTCTTATTACCCCAGCATCTTAAACTCTGTTTTGCGACCCCTTATGGAGTCACTAAGCTTAAAAAATAGAATTGAAGGTCAAGTCTTAATGGGATGCCTCATAAGCCATGTGCTCAGTGGTGCCTCTGCAATATTCAGCCAACTGCATGAAACTGCTCAGGCCATACGGCACCAGAGACCCCAAGAGCCAAAGCCTCCTATGTTCGGAGGCCCCTGGGGCTATACCTTATGGGGGCTTGGGGGCCATGTTATGTGCCAGAGTGCGAAGCAGCATTGACCTCTAACACCTATACTTGATTTTTTAATATATATATTTTGTTTTTTATGTTTTGCTGTTTGGGTCACACCTGGCATTGCACAGGGGTTATTCCTGGCTCTGCACTCAGGAATCACTCCTGGCGGTGCTCGGGGGATCATATGGGATTCTGGGGATCAAACCCGGGTCAGCTGCATGCAAGGCAAATGCTCTACCCGCTGTGCTATGGCTCCAGCCCTATACTCGATTTTTTTTTATTATCAGTAAAAACTTGGTTTACTGATATACCATTTAAATAGCTATATATCTGGGGTCACATAAAAATTCCTCAGATGAGAAGGGGTTGCAAGAGGAAGAAGTTTAAGAGGTCCTGTTTGCAAACCACTGATGCGCAGTGATTTGTCTGACAGTTGTGAAATACTGGTACGATCTCCTGGAGAACTTAAAGTCTGTTAGAATCCAGCTCTGCAGATATATGCTCCAGGTTTGTGTGCTGGAGCCCTTAGTTAAGCTGATGCATCTGTGTATGGATTTAGTCTTAAATTTAACTCACCTGATTAAGTGCGCCTTCCTTCCTAATCTCACTGGCTCTCAAAAGCTTCTTCTATTCAGCAGAACCGGTGCCAAATCAGACTCTGCTCATAAGCCAATTTGGAAAAAAAAAACAAAACAAAACTTTGAGAGTGTGGTAGAAGTACCTAGAATTCAAAACTTCATGACCAAAGTAAACAATCACAGAGACGAGGTTGCTCCAGGTGACTGCAGGAAGTTGGACTTCCTAATTCAGGGGAAAGGCCTGCGACTTTGTTCCTTCTGTTCCATAGGATGCAGAGTACAACCCCAGGAAAGGCAGCAGGGAGGCGTTGGATGGCAGGATCCAGTTGGACATGAGGGCACACTGGGAAGATCAGTGGGAAGTGCTGGGTCTGGTCCTGTATGTCAGCATCTGGGTGGTCAACTTTCAGAGAACCCCATGGCTAGGAGCAGATGTAACCCATGCACAGGCTACCTGTGACGTGTCTCATTTCGCTTTTTCAATTGTACCAAAGTCCTAATTATGTACGTTACTGGGTCCTCTTAATGGGCAGCAGGGTGAGGTAGTGAGAAAAGAATCAAGAGACACAGGTTGACTTCTTGCTGGGGTCCTAGCTTCCTAAACTGTTGGTGACATAACTGAATGTGGGGATGTCACAAAAATGAGGGGGCATGTGGAAGGTTTCTGGGTGATTATTCATAAGGTTTTTTATTTTGCTTCTTGGGTCACACCTGGAGATACACAGGGGTTACTCCTGGCTCTGCACTCAGGAATTACTCCTGGCAGTGCTCAGGGGACCATATGGGATGCTGGGAATTGAACCCTGGTTGGCCGCATGCAAGGCAAACGCCCTACCTGCTATTCTATTGCTCCAGCTCCTCTGGGTGATTTTTAAGTGCTAAAAGCAGTAACAAAATAAATGCAAGATCAAAGATGGAAGGAATTTGAAGTGTTTCTGAGAATTCTTGCCCCTGTTATATTTCTCGGATAAAAAGTGGGAAAAGTTTAAGAAGCCCTGATTGGTCATTGGTCTAGGGACATTCAGACCAGATCTCTAGTCCCTGTTCTGCTGATGGCAACCTGTGAATATGGCAAAGTTCTTGAGCCCTAGCTTCTTTATTACGTAATCATTTTCCTGGCTGATTTAGATCTTGTAAATAGGAATGTTGGAATGGATCTGATTTATGCAGACACTGGCACAATACTGTATTGTGATCAGTTTGTGTTATTACTAGTCTAATTTTCACTCTGAAAACTTAGAACCTGCCCTTTGGGAATATGGAGTTGGGGTTTGGACCATATGTGGCGGTGCTGGGATACCATGCAGTGCCAGGGATCAAACTGGGGTTGGCTGTATGCAAGGCAAGTGCCTTAAACCCTGTACTGTCTCTGCAGTCCCTGGGAATATTTTTTTTATTAGTGAAACACCATGAGGTACAGTTGTAGACTTACAAATTTTTGTGCTTGGGTTTCAGTTATACAATGATAGAGTACCCATCCCTCCACCAGTACCCATTCTCCACCACCCCTAATCCCAGTATCCCTCCCACCCCCAATCCCCCCATCCCACCCTGCCTCTGTGGCAGGGTGGGAATTTATTTTTAACCCAAGAAATATCAGCGAATTCATAGCACTCTAGGATATGGTACAAGAAATCTGCCAATATGATGAGCTAGCAAGTTAAACTAAGTTTCTGTGTAAGTCTTTTGAGAATATTTTGTATATTCATGTGTGCATAATCTTCCTGCAATTCAAAATTCCTAGAATTAGTATTGATGTCTATTTACATCTCTCCTTTCTGTATGCCCTCCCATTCCAAATGCTCAGATTAGCAATTATTTCACCTCCATAAAAAACCTTTAATATAGCTTAGGCTTTACCAAATTACATTCAAGTGGGCCCATTTCATGGATGAACTCTGCATCTCCCAACCAGGGCAAAGACTTCAGTACAGTGGTTTCTGAGCTTCCCCGCTTAGGGTAGTCACATACTTATTTCTGAGTTACTTTTTTGGGGGGTGTGCTATGTATGCAGAGTCTCCTGCCCCCACACCTGACTGTCCTCACTGGGGCTGCTTGGAGGGAGGCAGGTTGAGCTTCCCTCCCTCCGCCCCCCTCCCCCCCAGCAATCCCCAGCAGCCGAAGACCTCCAGAACCAGCCACAGCCATGCTGAGACCACTCTCCACACATCTGGAGAAGCCTCATGCATGAAGGAACTGGCAGAGGAACCCAGGCATGCGGGTCCCGGGGCTGAGATCTCCAATCCTGCTCAGATTGGAACTGGGCCTTCTCCACCCAGATCCCCCATCTTCCATTAGGTAGGTGTCACACCCACCAGCTGCTGCCAGCGCCAGTTTGGACCCATCAACAGCCAAGACGCAGAGACTATAAAACTTAATTCCCAGAAGCGCGCAGCAGACATCTTACTATCTCATTTTTCCTTTGGAGAACCCGGCAGGCTACTGAAAGTATCCTGCCCGCACGGCAGAGTCTGGCAAACTTCCCGTGTTGTACTCAATATGCCAAATACCAGTAACAATGATGGGTCTCATTCTCCTAACCCTGTAAGAGCATTGAATATGGCTCTTTTAAAATCTTAGGGCTAGGAAGGAGACGTTACTGGTGCCTGCTCAAGTCAATTGACAAACAACAGGATAATCGTGATTGTGATCATGATGTATTGTCCTGCAAAGGACCAAAAGTACAGTTCCTCTTCTGTTCCTACCCCCAAGTGAATATTTATCTCGACTTTCTCCATGATTTTTAAGTGCTAAAAGTGCAGTTTTCCGTTCCAGGATTTAGACTCTCTAAGACACCACATTTAAGTTTTCTAGACCCTGCACATCATTCAAACAGACTCATCTGACTCGCCACCCTGCTTAATTAAAATGAACTCATCCAGAGTACTTGCAGTTTCCAAGGTCTCAAATGCTACTGCCACAGGGATTTTATATTTGACTGCTCACATCTGAAACACCCAAGTCCTTATACCATTGTCTTGTTCGTAATGTCATTAGGGGTGCTCACAATATTTCTTGAGCCTTCTCCAACACTTTAACATTCTATGGGGAGGGATCGTGGTTGTTCATCTTAGCAATTCTAATGTGAACATGGAGGTTCGCAATTATTGTTCAAGAAAAACATGAGCCTGTGATAAAAGAACTTATTTATTAGAATGCAGTTTTTCCTACAATCCAGAGTATATTCAGGTATAAGTAGCTATAGTACAATAGACTTCAAGTGATAAATACAATTAATTTATCATCTATTTTTTCTCTCTGCTTTTTGATGTCAACTCAGATACTGCTGTTTATTTTTTACATTTCCAAGGAGATTCCTGAACATTTCATGAACATACTCTGACATGGAATAGCATTCCAAACCACTGAATAACAGGGAGCATTTCCAGCATTTCCCCTCTTATTATTAAACTCTTATACTAAAAGCATTAAATTATACACACACAGCAAAATACACAACAAATATCTAAGCAATATCATTTACAACCTCATATTCTTACTTTCACAAAACCTACTAAAAGCAACCATTTAAAAATTTCCTAGTTTCGTGTATAGGAACACACACGTATTACAGACACATAATGACTAGCCCTACTTCAATCTTTTTTCTTCGTCTCTGAAATTCTTGTTTTCAACAACTGAGGAAAGCCTGCACCTCAGACTTATTTATGGGCAGGGTAAATCATGGCCTTAGTGCGCTCACGGGCAGCAGCACTGCGTGCTCTGGCTTCAACCCTGGCTTTGGCCCTCTCTTCCTCATCCTTCAGTGCCTCCTCATACCACATCGGAAAGGCACTGGGAACTGCATCACGAACCTTGGCCACATATTCTAGAACTTTCATCTTACTGGTTTCTGCATGTGCTCTGGGACCCCACAGAAACTCATAGCATGGAGGATCACTATCAGGGACCTGGCGGTACTCCAGGTATTTTTCCTTCACCAAATCTTCAGTAATGAGCCTCCTGGGCTCTCCAAAAATGAAGTGTTCCTTCCCCTTATATAAGCCTATCATATTTAACGTTTGCCAGATTTGATCCTCAGTGGCACGATTACCCTTGGTGAAGATCACTCCCAGGATGGTCATCAACAGACCAGTCTTGGGCACCCCTTTGTCCTCCATGATCCTGGAATCATAGCTTATTTCCAGTTTGTTAATGAGGACATAGGTATGTTTCTGGGTATCTACTTCTTTTAAATCAAGGCCGAAGATCAACTCCAAGTGTTCACTGGCTCTCCTAAGAATTTCAGGGAAGTTACTCTTATACATTTGAATTACATTTTTCATCATCTCTACCCTGGTAACGGGTTCTTTCATATGATACTTATACAGCATGAAATGCACCAACATAGCCACTCTCTCATCTAATGGGCCTCTGAAGAAGGACTCATTCATGTCCAATTCCTCTGAAGCGGTTGGATTTTCTTCCTCTTGGTCATTGATGGTCACAACCGATCTCATGTATGCAGCAGCTGCTTCATTACCGCTGGTGGCAATTGTTGTCCTCCGAAGCTCCTGTGACTCCTGTAGCAAAACAATAGCAGATGAGCTCTGGGTGAAAGAACCAAAATGAGAGGAAGTGGTGGGGAATTTCTTTTTTCTTTTTTAATTTTATTGAATCACCGTGAGATAAGATAGTTACAAGTTTTCATGTTTGGGTTACAATCACACAATGATCAAACACCCATCCCTCCACCAGTGCACATTCCCCACCACCAGTCTCCTAGTATACCCCCACTTCCCCAGCCTCCCCCATGCTCCATGGCAATAATCCCATACTCTATTTCTGGGCATTATGGTTTGCAATACCGACACTGAGAGGTCATCATGTTTGGTCCTTTATCTTCTTTCCTACTGCTATAGGGAGATGAGCACTTACCAGACTCATGGAGTCTTCCTGTGCCTGGCGGCGTTTCTCACGGGCACGCAGTTTACTCTTCTGCCCCCGAGGCATGATGTCTCTGAGCAGATGCTGTAGGCAAAAGGACAAGCGAAAAGGTGAGCTGAAGGGCAAAGGCTGAGAGTATTAGGTCTCTTCAGTGAAGCAATACAAGTAGGCTGCCTGGGCAGCTTTCCCGGAGGGACTGCTGTAGGAGCACCTCCCTGTCCCCGAACAAGACTCCTATTATTTGGCCTGAGGCTGCTCTAGGAGCCTGGGGTGGACGGCTCTGACGCCAACAGTCCGCATTTCAAAGCCCTTACCACTCTGACACAGCCTAGTGGAAACTTAGGGGGGGCTTCGTCTTACCACAGTCACCGGGGTATGCAGTGGGAAGAAAGCAGCCGTCAAGGGGTAGAGATCTGTGGAAAAAGGAGCTACAGTCACTGACAGGGGCCCCAGTGATGAAGGCTCTCCTCAGTCCTCAGTGCCTCAGCATCCTCAGTATAACTTTGAGAGCTCGTTTGAAGGTTCTAACCAGGGAGCACAGCTACTTGTATGCCATCCACCAAGACCTGTCTGTCACCATTCAGGGAAGGCCAGTCCTCTTTGACCGAGCGTGAAGCTTCGGAAAGGACGCACATGGAGCGTTGAGGGAGGAAGGGCACCCACCCGCCTAGCCAGTCAGATCAGCCGAAGCAACCGTGGCCATTGATGGGGTGACAGATGTTGCAGCCAGACTGCCTCACATCCCTCACTATAACTTCGGATCGAACCTAGGAACTCTGGCTTCTACTAACCTAAAGCCCTACTCCCTCAGAGGAAGGCTTCCATCCCTGCAAGCCCAGAGGAGGGAGACGTCGTCAGGGCGGTCTAAAAGTTCTGCTCCCGTCGCGTCAGGGGGACCAATGACGCCGCTAGAAGTCGCTCGTCCGCACTATTCTCACACAGCCAGTCCCCTCTGGCCTCGCCTTGACTGACTAGAACCTGGGTTCCCTTCTGTCTAATGGCCAGGGCGCTGCTGTCTCTGGGGCTCTACCATCTTCCTCCCACATTAAGGCTGGTATTTGGGTACCCTGAGGCTCCCAGGGCAAAGTCATGGCTGTTCTGCTCACCCCAGAGCCCCCGGAGGGAGGCCTTGACTGTTCTGCCCCCCCTCCCCCGACCTTGCAGTCTCACAGCCAACATGGCCGGGTTCTGGAACGTCGCGGGTGTCGCCCACGAGGCACTTTCATTTCCACTCGCTTTTAGGACAAGAATGTTTCTCTCTGGGTCTTCGTCCTGTTCCATCTGGCCCCTCCCCATCCATCCCTCTCAGGAGCATTTCCCTAGCACTTGCAGGCCATTTGATCAGGGGTTCCTGCCTGAAGCCCACCCATGAAAGGAAGCAGGGGGACAAACTTTCTACAATGCTCGGCAACCTCCAAGTGGCTGGTTCCCACCTGAGTTACGCGTCTTGCAATCCCCAATTGGGCTCCGACGGTCACCGACCGACTAGACGAGATCCACCGAGTCCCGCCGACTGCTGTCGTCGTGGGACGGCGCTGTCTGACACGAAGGCCGGCGGAAGTCAGGTGGTTTTGGGTTGCATCACATGTCATGCGTCACATCCGAATTGCATGGGCAGAGCCTCGGAGGCTTAAGTCGGGGCTGGGTGTACTTAGGCGCCCCCTGTGTTGTCGGTGATCTGTATCTATTCCATCAACCCCTCAAATCACCCCGGGAACGTTACAGGGTACACAGAGGTTACTACTTGGGGGAATTTACTTAGATTTTATTCTTGTATTCTCTCTGGGTCGACAACAGCAGCAGGACTCTGCAATCTTCTGGCTGGAAAGAGTGGACCCTCATACCTAATTCATGCTCTTTCTGTTTGGGGGGAATTACACCCAGCTGCTTCTCAGGGCTTATGGCTAGTTCTCTTCTCTGCTCAGGGATCAGCAAAATATGTATGGTTATGGTGCTGTGGATTGAGCCTGTGTATGCCACATGCAAAGCATGTGAAATGAAATACCCACCTACTGCACTATTTATCATTTTGGTCCCTGCACAGAAATTCTCCATCCAGAAAATTTTAGACCACTCCCTTTGGATCAATGCATATACTTCTCCAAGAATCCAGGGCAATTATCAGAGCATGCCAGTTCTAGATTAACTTTACCTGGGATCCCCTAGGGTGCACTCAAGGGCTGGGTTCTATGGGCCTGGAGCAATAGTACAGCTGGTAGTGCATTTTCCTTGCACTCTGCCAACCCGGTTTTTTTGTTTGTTTGTTTTGGCTTTTTGGTTTTTCTTTTTTGGGGGGGTCAGACCCAGCAATGCTCAGGGGCTATTCCTGGATCTACACTGAAGGATCACTCCTGGTGGTGCTCGAGGGACCATGTGGGATGTGGGAGATCTAACCGGGCTGGCCACGTGCAAGGCAAATGCCCTCCCCACTGTACTATTGCTCCAGTCCTGACAACCTAGTTCTATTCCAGGCATCTGTTTTGGTCCCCCGGCACCGACAGGAGTAATTCCTGAGTGCAGAGTCAGGAGTAACCCCTGGGTTGCCAGATATGGCCCCTGAATCAAAACAGACCAAAAAATACCTGTATTTTTTTTCCTTTAGAAATGAAATAGACAAGGCAAATTTTACTGAATGGGAGAGAAACAATGAGAAATAATGAGGGTAATTATTATCCAGAGAAAATATTGAAAATACTAAGACTTTTGAATAACTATGAAACAAATATAAAACTGAGATGAAATGAACAGTTTTCTAAGAATTTTTTTCTTTTTGGTTGACTGGTGATGCACAGGGGTTACTCTTGGCTTTGATCTCAGGAATTACTCCTGGCAGTGCTCAGGGGATCATATGGGATGCTGGGAACCGAATCTGGGTTGGCCCGTGCAAGGCAAATGCCCTACCTGTTGTGCTATCACTCCAGCCCCTAAGAAATTTTCTTAGTTTTTTAATCAATTTTAATTTCTTAATTCAATCAAAATTAATTTTATTATTTATTAGTATCACTGTATCACTGTTGTTAATCACTTTGCTCGAATGGGCGCCAGTAACGACTCCATTCATCCCTAACACTTGTTAGTGTAGCCCGATGGCATATTGGGGGCTCTTTCAGGGTCAGGGGAATGAGGACCATCATTGTAACTGTTTTCAGAATATCAAGTATGCCACGGGTAGCTTGCCAGGCTCTGCTGTGTGGACGTGATACTCTCAGAGAGCCCGGCAAGGCCGGATGGAGTCTCTAATCGACTTTACAGGTGTTCCCAGTCAGACATATATGCGGGAAGGATACTTTTGGTAGCCTACTGGGTTCTCTGAAAGTGAAAACTAGACAATAAAAGCTTCCGGGAGCTTGGTTTTATAGTCTCTGGATCTTGGCCATTTGTGGGATTACACGGCAGTTGGTGGGTGTAACTGTCTAGCTACTGGAAGATGGGGGACCTAGATGGAGGAGGCCCAGTACCAATCCGAGCAGGCTTGGAGATCCCAGCCCCGGGTCCCTCACACCTGGGTTCCTCTTCCGGTTCCTTCATGCAGGAGGCGCGTCTGAGTCTGTGGAGAGTTAAATTAGTTAAATTATAAATTATAATAAAATAGTAAATTTGTAAATAATAAATTAATTAATTAATTTGGCCAACCTGAGTTCCTCCACCCATCTTGGAGAGCCCGGCAAGCTACCGAGAGTATCTTGCCCACACAGCAAACTCTGGTAAGTTCCCCATGACGTATTCGATATGCCAAACACAGTAACAAGTCTCACAATGGAGACGTTACTGGACCCACTGGAGCAAATCGATGAACAATGGGAGGACAGTGCTACAGTGCAGTGCTATAAATAAAATTTATAAATAAAATAAACAAGATAAGAATTAATAAATTTATTAATTGATCAAATTATCAATAAATTGATTTATCAGTCAATTAATCAAATTAATCAATTAATTTCTTGATTTTCTTAATCAATTTAGATTGATCTGAGTAGAAAGTTCAAACAACAATTTTCATAAAGGATTTAGAAAATTGTAGAAGGGTTTTTTCCCAAAAAATACAGCAGAATTGAGTGGCAATTCATAAAGAAATTCTACCAAATAATTAGTAATGATGATGATGATGATCATAAAATAACATTACAGGCCATGATGTCTTTAAATTATTTTTATAAAATAAGTGTAACATTGATGGCAACACTTGATGAAAACCAAGAATTAAAAAAAAATGAGGACTGGACATATGATATGATATATGGTACATATATGGTATGATAGGTGAACCCAGGTTGGCTTAAGTGGTATTCTGAGGATGAACCCTGATGGGTTTCCTGCAAGGCAAGTACCCTACATGCTGTACTATCTCCAACCCCTATGGTTTGTTTTTAAAATTCCCCACTGATACTCGAGGTATCCTTTTGTTAAATTGCCTTTTCTTTTCTTTTTTTTTTCTTTCTTTCTTTCAACTATACATTCCATGATGTGGGGCTACTCCATGCTCTTTGGTAAAGGAGTTTCACCTAGCAATGCTGGAGAGGGTGGTAGAAAGGGACTTACACTCATACAGGGTACCTGCCATTCCAAGTGTGCACCCTTAGAGCTATCTCACAGCCCTCGTCAACTAGCTTAACTATCACTGTCCAGTTTCCAGAGAGTGAATGGAAGGGCCTACTGACAAAGAATCACAGTCATAAGTGGGGATCACAGGACAGCAGGGATTCACCATTGCACTGCTTATCTATTCTGGGGCAGATGATTTGCTCAGAAGTCATGCAGCACTGGACAGGAAAGATACTACAGATGTTTGGCACTTAGGCTGCCTCATCCAGTTCTATCAGCAGCAGTGCATGTAGTCCCCTGAGCACAGAGTCAAGATTAAACCCTAAACAAAAATGGATATGGCCCATGAAATCTAATCTCCAGGCTCTCATGGAGTCTGGAAGGGCAACCTCCCCCCATCCACGTTCTTCCAGGAGGTTGGTAGACAGGCCTACAAAGTGCCTCTGGAGCCATATAAGCTAAACAGCCATGATCCAGAGATTCACAAATCTTAGAAGAAAGCAACAAGCTGAAAAGATGCCTCT